TGGTGCTGAACGAGACCCAGTTCTCCGCTTTCCGCGGCCAGGAATGCATCTTCTCCAAGGTCAGCAGCGGCCCCCAGGCTGGGGACCTCAGCGTCTACTCGGTGTCAGCCCTGCCTGCCCTCTGCAAGCCGGGGGACCTGCTGGAGCTACTCTACCTGGGGCCGTCGGATCACCCTCCGCCGCACTGGGCAGTGTACGTGGGCAGCGGGCAGATCATCCACCTGCACCAGGGGCAGATCCGTCAGGACAGCTTATACGAGGCGGCGGCGGGCAACGTGGGCCGGGTGGTGAATAGCTGGTACCGGTTCCGCCCGCTGGTAGCTGAGCTGGTGGTGCAAAACGCCTGCGGGCACCTGGGCTTGAAAAGCGACGAGATCTGCTGGACTAACTCCGAGAGCTTCGCCGCCTGGTGCCGCTTCGGAAAAAGGGAGTTCAAAGCCGGGGGGGAGCGGCAGGCTGCTGCCGGCACCCAGCCCCAGCAGCAATACTATCTCAAGATTCACTTGGCGGAGAACAAGGTGCACACCGTGAGGTTCCACAGCCTGGAGGATCTAATACGTGAGAAGCGCAGGATCGATGCCAGTGGCAAACTGAGGGTGATCAAAGACCTGGCGATAGTGGATGGGAAAGAATAGGGAGTAGCAGGGGTATGTGGCTATCTTCCTTCTGCCCTGCCTGGGGAGACCAGCCTGCCACGGAGACAGGAGGCTGCACCCTCTTTCCGTGGGACGCACTGGAAGCAGGATCCATGGCAACATTCCAGAAAACCAGCATTCTTTACACCCATAGCCAGTATTTTGTTTGGCTTTTAATAGCATTAATGCTGAAAGAGCGAGAGAGAGGAAGGAAAGAAAGGGGAGGTGCAGGAAGGCTGTGCTCAGAGTATGTGGACAAAAGTCTCTCCTGTCGATCGATGTTGACCATTCTAGCAACACGCCAATAAAATTTCAAATTGAAATTTTTTTACATTTTTATTTCATGGCTTTAATCCATGATAAGTTTTAAACATCTGGGGCCATGGATGTGGATCTAGCTAAATGAGTTTCTAGCTGCTATTTGCCTTGCAGCCAACCAGAAGCATCAGTGGTACTTTGCTAGCTGGGAGGGAAAGGGAGGGTTGAGGGGGGGCAGAGGGGGAAATGCCTGTTTGTTTTGTTTCTCAACACTCTTGCTGCAGCCTGATAGCTGCAACCCAAATTTTGTCCTAGCCAACTCTGGCAAGATATTAACAGGGGGCAATGCTTTCATGTTTCTGGTTGAAATCTGTCACATTTAAAGTATTTGTCCTTTTTGCTTTCTGTTTGCAGCTCTCTGCTAAATGTCACCATAATGCCTAAGCCCTTTTCCACCTCTTCCCTTCTCCCAGCCTCCCTGCTGTTTTATTTTGGGGAGAAAAGTTGGTGAGCAGCTGTTTTCCTGAAACTAAATTCATTGGTTAAAGGAAGTTGTGTATTTTGGAGAACAGTATACTCAATATTGCTCCTCAGAGATCCAGCCTCTGGGATCTCATGCTTGAGCTGTGGATTTGTATCGCTGTAGTGATTCCTACTGCACTGCTGCTTCAGTATCTCTTTGTGCACAGGTCAACAGAACCCTGCAAGAAACAAATAAGTTTGAATTCTGCATGCTACCTCTTCAAAACAGCAATTTATTGCATATTTACAATGCCACTTAAAGAAAAATAGATGTAATATGGCCAAGTTCATCTTGCAATTCAAATTCCAGGCAACTAAAAATCGTGTTCAGTCTAAGTTTAGAAATCCACAGCTGCATTTAAAAGATGCCTTTTAATGTGATGTGGGCAATGCCTTGTCTGTATTTCAGATCCTATTCACTCATTGCTTAAATCTAAGTTTTGAAGTGAAGGATCAGAGGATTAAATATATATTTAAAAAAAAATAAATTAAGTATACTGGGGCATTTTTAGAGCTGTCTATTTTTTTTAATAATTATTATTATTCTGAGCTGCATACAACTTGTAATAAGCAATTTGTCTTTGCATGTTTCAGTACTGGAAAGAAAATGCATTTGTTTTTGTCCCCTCTTCCCACATCAATGTCAGATGGCAGAATAGAAGTAATATCCCTCTTCTGTATATATGATACACTCCACCCCCTATCAATGTACTGTGTCCTGGCTCCTTTTTGTATTAAACAATGTCATAAGCAACCTTGTTGCAACAGTAATTTCATTTCTACACAGCGTTTACCTCCCATAGCTGAAGCTATGAGGGTGGAGTGTACTTCATTATAATGAAAGTGTCAGCATAAATACCTTTTAAACCAAAACAACAACAAAAACTGCACACAACAAAAATACCACCAAAAATAAATCAAAACCCTCCCAAAACTGTACCCCTTCAGTGAAGGGCATCTGACTGGCTTTGTGTTTGCTAATACACTTGGCAAAGTTACGTGGTAGTAGGCAGTGTTTTATCCCCTCCCCTGAAGTACCTTGGCTAGTACATATAGGGTAAACACTTGGAAAATGTGAATTGTCATTACTGTCAAACTACTGCTGAAAAAGCCTTGAATTTTTAATAAATGTGTAATATTTTAGCTTTATACTGGCAATAGTTGTGTGATCATGATAGCTTTTTCCATGACACAAACGGAGTCTCCTACATAGTTAGTATTTGTGTATCTTAATTGTTATACTGTATTAGATCTCCCAAATTGTCTGTTAGGGCTCATTTCCCTATATAGTTTGGTGGGAGCACTGTGGGATTGCAGAAAGGCACTGGCTTTGCACCTAAGGCATGTACTTAACAAAAAAAATTAAAACTTAAATGGTAGGAGAAGAAGGTGTGGGCAAAAATAGTTCATTTTTATTTCCTCTTAAAGAAAATATGTATTATAGAACAGAGGTAGGAAAAGGCAGGGAGAATTACATGAAGAGGGAATAAATAACAGAGTGTTTATGAAGACAGGAAGAATGCAGTCACATTTTTGTTTTTGATTTCTGGAATGTCTTCAGATTGCTCTTAGATGAATAATAGAGGACTAGAGAGAGGATCCTTGCAAGAACAGCATTGCACATCCTCACTAGTGAGAGTTTAAAACATGCTGGCTTTAAACTTTTTGCTGTGCTTTCAAAATACTCCATGTCTCTATCTAAACAGCCATTTTTAACTCTGGTGTTTTTTGGTAATGATTTACTAACCTGGTTCATGAACGCATCCATTTTCCTTATTTTACCTAGCTAGATATAGAATGGTATTTTGTAGTATATAAATGAAGTGACAGGAACTAGTTTATGCTTATTCAAGCTCTGTCAGAAAAATCTTTGGCATTGCTCCAAATTTGTACAGGTAAAGGCAACAACAAAGTTAAAGCCTTAGTCCTTTGCATAAGGACTGGAGAAAATGTATTGGAAATACTCACAAATTGTATTAACCTAGGATATAGTATTGCTATGACTACATTCAGGTATCGGTCTGTTATTGGCAACAAAGATACCCATACTGATCCTTTTGGTTTTTTTTTTTTTTCTTTTGCTAGATTTCAGTCCTGAGTTACTGACAATGATCTGGTCCTGATTCATAGTCCATTGAAGTTGATGGAAAGGCTCTCACTGGCTTCAGTGAGCTTGGGTCACATTTTATGGTTTCGAAGGTGGTTAAAATTTGTGGACCTTGAGAAGAAGTGAGATTTAAGATGGCATTTCAGACCAGAAGGGACACCTTTCTGAGATGAGAGACAGTGGAAACAGGCAATACTGTGAAAATAAGGGAAGAAAACAGACTACTTCTGAAGCAAGCAGTGTTAATCTGAGGTAGCAGTAGGGAAACGGTGAAAAAGACTGAGTGAAAAGTTGATATAAAAAGTTGTTCAGTGCCTCGAAACAAGAAATGGAAGGCCCCTGCAGTCTGCTGCAAGAAAGGCAATGATGTGAATGACTGACAGGTAAAAATTGTAATTGATTATACTCATCTTTCAGGATCAGTGACCTGCCTGGGTTTACATTTCCATTTCCAGCAGTAAAGATATTGACAAATTATATTATATCTGTGGAATCTGTTTACTTTCTTCAGTCTAGCTACCTAGGGTAAATATTTGTATCTCGTTCATTGCACTTGAAGTACTGACTTGTGATATGACTGCAATGCTAGGATACTTTGCACATCTTTCTTTTGTGTCACGTTTCAAGCTTTCTGTTAGCTGTTTGGGTAGCAATTTTATGGAATCTCGTTTGCTTGAATACAATTTTGTCTTTTCAAAATGCAATCTTTTGAATTGCTTTTAGGCTGGCGTTTTATTAAAAATTCAGTTCATGCCCTCTTGAAACACAGAGAGCCTTTGTGAAATGTTTTACTGCCGTGAACAAAGTGTTTGCTGGTTATTGGTTGTGCATATAGGAAAAGGACTGTAAGGATGGGTAGCAAAATAGATTTTGTTACTATGAAATTTTGTCTCCATCTCATATTTCCACGTTACTTTGTTTTCATTTGTTAGGATGTTTTTCCCATCTCAAATAATTATGGTTGTAGAAAATGAAAAAAACAAAACAAAACATTAAAAAACCCTCATAGTATATTTTTTAGGGCAATATGCTATTGATCAATATGGGGATTTCAGATTAAGAGCAGGGTATAACAAGATATGGCTTTCAGGGTGTGACAAGAAATGACCTTTGGTCTGTGCTAGAGTGTGCACAGTCTTAATTATCCTGCCTCATTTCATTTTACTGTCTTTCATATTCAGGTAAGTGATGTGCAAAAATCTGTCAGAGTTTATAGGCCTGTTTATGCGATATATTGAACATCTGCAACTCCACCCTACGTTGGCTGGACTTGAGGGAATGCTGGATCTCACTCGAGACACGCAGTATCTTGTGGGATCAGTTACCTCAGCCTGACCAGTTCCCAACCCTCTGTCTGCAGCTGGGACAGCTACTGCTTGTTTTAAGATTTAGTTATTTTCTGTGAAAGATTTCTACTAGAGTAGCTTAACAGTGTTCTGTTCATAATTATACTTGGCTGTGACTAAAATGTTGTATGTGTTGCTGCGTATGCTGTGCAAACAATGTGTTTTCTGTTTTATAACCCAGGAGAAAGATGATCCCAAAGAATTAATCCAGAAGTGTGCAAGGAGATATGATTGGACTACCGTGCTGCAGGCTGTTCCACTGCAGAATTAGGGCTTAAAGGAAAATCATATATGACTAGAGTGTGATCAAGTGCTGCTATTAGTTTGTAAGTCTCAGTGTTTCCATGGCAAGTCTGGAATTTATTTGCTTACTTTGTTATTATTATGAAATATTTAACTTTTCTGTATTTTGAATTCAAATTTGACATGTAAAACCACCCTATGCTCATGGATCCTCTGACACAATATTTGTTTAATCTGTCAGAATTTTTTTACAGTTTTATTGTAAAGAAAACTAATGAATACTGGAATCAGGTACTTTACTGAAATGCTTATAAATCAGAAAGAGGGTAGTGTAGATGTTAGGTTGGAAAAAAGCAATGAACTAAAAATCTTCTGTTACTTGGCATATCAGTGGATTTACTCCAGATTATATAGATATAATCTATACAGATATAAACTACTAGTGCTGTATTTTTTTGAAGTGGTTTTGGCACTCTGCATTATGTCTTTTGCAAAATAGTCTTATTTTGTCTAAGTAACACAAATTCCCTGCAGACTTCTATTTTTTTATATATTGAAATGCCACAATGCCATTGAAATTAAGTTACTTCAACTATATTCACCTTTGAAAAATAAACTAGAATTTGTCATATAGGATTTATAATTGAGCAACTAGTAACATGCACTTTCATTTCTTAATATTAAGTATTTCGCATCAAGCACAAACATATTCAAGTGGTTATGTTTAGAGGAATCATAGAACTTCCATTAGCAGAGGCCATTCAGATTGAGATTGCGCTTTTATATGGTGACACTTTTTCTCTTGTTTTTAATATATATTTTTATTTTGGGGCATTTCTGGTTCTGCAGA